CAGCCAACCAGAGCGCGCGCTCTATTGTAGCCATGTAATTCTTGATATTATAGTCTATTAGGTGCGGTTACACACACCACGGTAAAAGACATTTCCCACGTTATAATTAACGAAGCCGTCGTTCCTAAATTTTAACGTGGGTTTAGTTTGCCGTGGTAACATGTGGTTACACATGAATTAATTCCCAAGTTAATTCAGCCGCTTTTACGGCTTCATTATCGCTAATAAGGTAATAATCACCGTCGATGATGGCAGTAAGTATCTCATGTTGAAAATTTACGTAGAGTTTAGCTGAAATTTCAACTGGTATGTTAGTCCTGATAACTAGCGAAAGTACATAGCATTTTTGTTGCTGTTGCCCATAATCAAATGTGCATAACTCCAAAAATACAATAACTACCAAAACGGCTGACTAAAAGTTTATGAACGCATATCGAATACATCGAAAAAATGCGGGTTTTTGAATTATGGAAAGTACGAGTCAGCATTCTTTGTTTGTGCTCTCTTCTAATATTAGTGTTAGCCCAATAAGAACACTTAAAAAGGATCAAGTTATCTGTATCAAGCAGTCATTATCTTGCGGGTTTTGGATAAAAAAGGTTTTCATGATTAGGTAGATATTCTAAACAAAAGATCAGGTTGAGCACTGAACACCCTGGGAGTAACAGTAAACATGATTTGGCCTNATGGAAAGTACGAGTCAGCATTCTTTGTTTGTTCTCTCTTCTAATATTAGTGTTAGCCCAATAAGAACACTTAAAAAGGATCAAGTAATCTGTATCAAGCAGTCATTATCTTGCGGGTTTTGGATAAAAAAGGTTTTCATGATTAGGTAGATATTCTAAACAAAAGATCAGGTTGAGCACTGAACACCCTGGGAGTAACAGTAAACATGATTTGGCCTCCAGTAACCGCGAAAACGCTTGAATAAATCAAAACTAATGAACCAGGAATCGGCATGCTAGTTGTAAAAAGCCGGCAACGAGCGACAGGATTTGGGCTAATCTGTACGAGATTAGATTAGGGCTGTTTCTTTTAAAGTGGAACACACACTGCATTCAGCCAATTCGTTCGTTGCTAGACAAAATCCTTTAATCGTAGCATTCTTCGAACTGCAAGATTTATTAGCTTAGAGGCTCCCACGCCCTCGTACCACTCCCCCTTCCCCGCTTCCCCCGCTTTCCCATTAATGTAGGAGCTGCTCATAAGGTGTTTCCTCATTGGTCGCAGAAAACAATAACACATCATTGTTTATCATTATTTCACATTGTTTTCACGGTTAGGGTATCGAACAAATTGGCTTCCTACGCCCTTGGAACTTGTTGCGTGTCCCCTGCACTTTTCTGTTTGCTTCAGTCATAAACTGAGAAAGTCGACGGCTGAAAAATGGCACCCTTGTATTGCTTTATCGTTATCTCGCTTCTGTCGAGCTGCCTAGCGGCAAAGTACGCCATGTTTCCTTTGTTTTCAAGAAGCCATTATCTCGTGATTGCCAAACTCGGGGAAGAACTTGTTGCCAGAGGACACGAAGTAAGTTAAGTCTATTTAGAACTTGTGTGCAGTTTTTTCCCGGTTCAAACGTCGAATTTCACATGAGCCGAACTTAACACAAGAGTTAAATGCATTTGAAGTGCGACGTTTGAATCAATTAAATTCGACTGTTTAAATTAAATGCGACGTTTGCCTTATCTGCGACTGAAACAGTCGAAGCTTCGACCAGTAGGTTCGACTTTTGATTCAAACGTCGCATTTCACAGGGGCACCCAACGTCAATTTTTGGAAAATATCGGTTTGGAAGACGATTTGAGATCTAGAATTTTTCGGAACTTTTGTTGTAAAATTTATTGCCTGCCTGCCTGCCTCTCCTAGGATTTTCGAACATCTAAGAAATGGTATAATTGCCCGTTTTTAACGGATTTTTACCCTAAAAAGGTCACCTAGATTTTTCGGGGGCCTTTTTTCTGGCTGAAATTTTCGAAGAGGTAAGTTTTGGTCCCTATAATTTTTGGATCACTAGACTTTCCGCTAGGAAATCCGAACAGATGACAAAGTTTTAGGGGACAAAAATATAATGCCTATATCTACCGTTTATCGGCTCCTGAATACGTTCAACAATGCTATGTTTAGCTATGTTTAAATGGTTTTGAACTATATTCTCTTTGGGTGCCCCTGATTTTACATGTGCCGAACTTAAGGAACGAATTTTAGTAAATTATTACACTTCAGTGAATTCTACGTGCGGCCAGGTCCCCTCCCCCCCCCCCCCCCCCCCGCCCCCCCCCCGGCCCCTTACCCTTTTTTTTTTTTTTTTTGCAAATTTCCGGGGGGGGGGGCACTTTTAAGAGAAGGGGAAAAAACCCCCCCCCCCCGGGCCGCCCCCCACCCACTTTTTTTTTCCTCTCCTCCCGGCCCCCCCCCCCCCCCCCCCCCGCTGGGCTGACCCCCGGGTCAGTTAGCATTTTTTTGCCTTTGATGGCAAATTCCCGGGGGTGGGAACTCTTGAAAAGAGAGGGTAAATGCCCCGTCCTCCGGGGTCCGACACTGCAACATTTTTCATTGATCGCACAGTCGAATAGTGCCATTTTAAGCATTTTAATGTACGATTTTTTTTTCCATTTACGTCTTCCTTTGTAATAGCTCCAGGATTCTAAGTAAGACTTCACGCCGCGAAGACATGCACCAGATTATGGTTTTAGTATTGATATAAAATCAGTATTAATTTTAAAATTAACAGAGCGCTGTTAAGTTGTATGTTATGAATACCTTTATAAATATGAAAGGATGTTCTTCAAATAATATCAACAAAAATTTGAGTCAATTAGTACGATCAGTATTTCGGTATTCTGCTAGCAGAATTTATTGTCTACTTTTCATTTTTGCAGATCGGGTCTTTATAGATCCTATGTTCTTCGGCACATTCGTTTGCTGTCCTTTGCAGTCCTTTGTGGTTAATATTTGAACCAAAAAACGTCGATTCACATTGATCGATATCTCCAATTTCGCTATGTAATTCTGGCTTGATAAGCCATGAAGAAATGTATGCAGAAAATCGAGAACATGCATTTACAAACCTCTTCAATTTATTCCTGTCCTTGACATATGAGCCAATCTGCTTTTTTCCAGTAAAAAAATAAATATTACTAGGAATATTGACAGCGAGCAGAGTTAAATTCGACAGAGTTCAGCGAGCTAAATTTGACGTTTGAATCAAAAGTCGCCGTATGCCGTATTTAACTATTTTAGTCGACTAAAATAGGAATTAAGTTCGGAACATGTGAAATTCGATGCTTGAACTGGGCCTAATTCAGGTTAGTTTCAATCTAAAATATTAGTATTTTCTTTTGGTGAAGAGATGCCATTTCATCAATGATTTTCTAAAGAAACAGTATTTTGCATAAAACTAAATTCACCATCAATGAGAGGGTCAAGTTCCCCTTATGCTTCCTTCGTAAAGCCTGATTTTTTTTTCTCGTGAAAAGAGATTTAATTTTGTTTTATTTGTTTGTGATTAGTTATCTCCTATTCCGAGACAGTTCTTAAGTGCACGTGAAAGCGTTTTTGTAACTAAGCTAACGTGGCAAGTAAACGAAGATTTAATTTAAGCGTGTTTCGTGAACTATACCGCCAGTTTTGCGTGAACTGTTTTGGTTGGTTGAAAGCCGACTTAAAGTTCGTTTTTTTTTCAGGCAAAAAGGCTTCTTATTCTTTACCTCTTGCGTGTAAATTGGCCTTTTCTTCGAGCAGACAAGTTGTAGCGTTGTTAAACCTGCCTTACGGTCATTAGAAGCATTGCCCATATACCCTGACATTTGAAATTTCAAAGAAAACGAGTCACCTTTGAAGGGTAATCAGCTTAGTTGGTAGGTAACATTAATCTGTGCTTCTATTTTCCATTTCCCGTGAAACGTAAATTATTCGGTTTGTACATGAACGTGAAGATTAATTTTTAGGAGTTATTTGTGGCGCGTGTTACATGAAAGCACTTTGCAATGCAAAGGGTTGAGCCAAGAGACTGGCAAAATTTGTTCACAATGACGAGGTTTCGTTATATCGAGGTTATTTTCTATATAGCTTACTATTACTGGGGTAACGAAAATCGTTCGTTATACTGAGGTTCGTTATATCGAGATTCCACTGTATAATTTGTATCGCGTTATTGAATTTTATTTATGGGTTAGAAATAGTGTATCTTCATAGAGTGATCAGAAGGAAAAGACAATCTATAAAAGCTTCGTACTTCGTCTTTAAAGTTCCATCTGTCCATAATCAAGTTTACACACGGAAATTCGAATTATTCTGTACACGGAGTCGAAAAGGGGTACCTCTTCCAGGCTCTAGGCGTATGAAAGGATAAGGAATTGAAGAGCCAAGCCAAGGAAAATCTATGATATAAGTATTAAAAAGGTCCTTCAATAACAATGTTTCCAAAAGAAGTGCATATGGCTAAATCGTTTTAAATTATTAAATGTCACATGAAAAAGACAAGACTTCCCATTTAAGCGATGTATTCTTTTGAGGTATGTTGAAAGGACACCATTTTTTCAATGGAACGTATGCGAAAAGGGCATCTCTGACGTCAAAAAAAAAAACAGATTTAACAAATGGGTAAAGGGTTGGACATCGGGGCGGAGCCTCCCGGCATAAAGAGTTGTTGCCGTGTAGACCCCGTATTTATTCGGACATCTAAGTAACAGTAACATGATGTCACGAACGTTTTCAATTCGTGAATACGCGAAGCGTGTCCCCTTATGCTTACAGTTAGTGTTGACAAGCATTAAGATTCCTCTTAAGGTAGCCGGAATTATTCTTTGGTTAGACATATACCATTTCAACTTAAAGGTAATATCTTCTCTTATCATATCCACGATCGAGTACTGTTCTACTGGTATGGATTCCATTCTGTTGGCCAGAACCTCTTTAGAACCTCTGATTGGATGGGTTCTTGTTGGCCCGAAGCTCTATTGTTTCAGAGTTGGGGTTCATTGTTAGTTTTGTTTGGGTTTCCATTTCAGGTGCAGATTTTCGTTGGTGATACCGAAACGTATGCCCTCAAAGCTTCTTTAGCAAGCCCATTTGAAACTTCGCCGAGTTTCAAGAATGCTAAACAAGAGGCAAGAGATAAATATGGGACTGAATATGTTTTTTTGACTGGCCGCTTGGGAAGAATTCAGAAGATGTACTGCGACGCTGCCCTTGGTAACGCCAAAGTAATGCAGGCAGCCAAGAACACGGATCTCATTGTCGGAGACGCCTTTTACATCTGCGGGTCACTAATTGCGGCCAAATTCTCCTTACCTTTTGTCACTGTTTTCGCGATGTCGCTCAGTACATTTACAGCGCATGGCTATGGATTACCGCTGACCCCTTCCTACGTACCGCAGTTCCAGTCTATCCTTGGTGACCACCTAAGTTTCATCGGCAGAATACAGAACGTGTATCACTGGATTCTCAATTACTGGACACATTACTACAAAATTGTTCCTTTCTTTCAAGACTTAAAGGTTCGCTACAAGATCGAACCCAACAAGAGTCTGCATGAGATATTAAATCGTGTTGACCTCATTATTGCACAAATGGGCTTTTTTCTTGATTACCCTCGACCACTATTACCAAGTAGGTATGTTGTTCACACGACGCAACATTGTCTCTTAGAGTCAATAGTTAAAACTATTCGAAGGGGACCACGGGCAAATTCTTGCAGCTGGGAATATCTGTACTTGAACGTTTGCAAATGATTAAAAAGTAATATTCCATTATTTTGAGTAGGCAGGACTAAACCTGGGCTCGATTACTGGCCGCTGTTTGATTTGGCAATGACGCTTCAGCTGGAGCTACAACCAGTTGCAGAAGTACTTGAGACACTGTACTGTATCGAACTGTATTTTGGCCTAAATAGCCTGTCCATGATCTTGTGCTTGTGATCCCCCCTCCACCCCTTACCAAAGTTGCTAGCAATACAAGACCATGCTCAAAACTTGGAGGAACAACTTTGAATGGGAGGGAGGAGGGAGCAGCGATTATAAGGAAGAAATGTCGTTTTTTTCGTGGGAGTGTCTCAACATTTTTGCAACTGGTTGTAGCTTGCGCTCCTCCCGCCCGAACAAGCAGCTGGACGCGTGGGTTTTCTACAGTCATTTGCAGAAATCAGATCGTTGCCTGCTCAAACGGAGCAGCCAACTAAGCTCGATTACCAGGCGCCGTTCGAGAAATGAGCCCGCGCCCATCTACCAAGAGAGCGGCGTTAATCGAGCCTAGACCAAACCATTTGTCACGTTAATTCTATCCACTCGATCGCTGTCCATCCCGTGTCCCCTGTTTCTTGGTAATCCACTTGCACTTCGAAGTCTACTGCCGTAAAGAGGACCTGTTATGTGTATAAAGGGCAACTTAAGCGTTTCCCGTTCCACACCTTCGAAAAACATCTCCCAGAAGTAAACCATAACAATTTTGACCACAGAAAACAATCTCGTTCCTCGTAACAATAAACGATGAAAAGGTGTCATGATGATGATAAAGTTTTAAGTTACAAATAGAATCTTTTACTGGGTTATTATCACCTTTTTTCAGATACCAGAGTTGTTGGACCACTCCTGGTCAGTCCACCCAAACCACTCCCGGCCGAATTGGAGGCGTTTATGCAGAGCTCTGGGAACAATGGGGTAATTTTGGTTTCATTTGGTTCAACCATATCGTCTTCAGCCAAAAGAATCGATAAGGCCGGCTTAACAGTTATGGCTGGTGCGTTTGCAAAATTGCCACAGAAAATTATCTGGAAGCTGTCTGAAGGTACAAATCACTATATTTTTTCATTCAAAAGGTAACTTCAATTTCTCTGACAAGTTACCTGATAGCGTCTTTCCCATTTCCCTTGGGGGTACTCTTAGGAATTCTTGGTGGGGGTGTGTTGCCCGGTTCTTCGAATCCTAACGTTATTTCAGACCAAAAAAATGTCATTTAGGAACGACGAACACATTCATACACTACCGTAGTTCCCTTGTAAACCATACCCGATTTCAGACCAAAATGGGCAAAATTCAGACCAAAACGGCGCCAAAACTATATACCCTTTCGGGCGGCACATACCTGTATGGCTTATTAGTAAGGGAGTAACCCCCGGACATCTTTCTTAGTTTGCTGATTGTGTGGCCTCCACCTCTGCTCTTAGAGGAAGAAAGTTCTTTGGCACTCGTGATGAGCGAAAACATCAAAATTGCATCATGGCCCCCACAGAACGACATTCTTGGCCACCCTAAGACTCGTCTGTTTTTTGGACACGCCGGGCTTAATGGAATACTAGAATCCACTTACCATGGAGTACCAATGATTTGCTCTCCTTTCTTTGGTGATCAGTTTGACAATGCCTATACCGCAAAGAATGTTGGTTTCGCTGAGGTTCTACATTTGAGAGGGGCAACATCAGAACAGTTGTTCAGCGTTATTCAAACCGTGCTCACAGATCCTAGGTGAGTTTTATGATTTTGAAATATTTTGATACAATTTGCTTGGCAGCCTGNCCTTTCTTTGGTGATCAGTTTGACAATGCCTATACCGCAAAGAATGTTGGTTTCGCTGAGGTTCTACATTTGAGAGGGGCAACATCAGAACAGTTGTTCAGCGTTATTCAAACCGTGCTCACAGATCCTAGGTGAGTTTTATGATTTTGAAATATTTTGATACAATTTGCTTGGCAGCCTGGAATCTTCCAGTGAGGGGAAAAGATCCACATGCATCTATAAATTCATGCATTACGTTGTTTCCACGCCTGACGATTGTTTTCGGAAGGTATTTAAGTGTTGGCACTGGAATTGAACCTCAAGCCTTTTGTTTCCTAGCTACCGTGAGTCTGCAGAGCGAGTCTCCAAGTCCATAAAACAGTTGCCTCGTGCGCCTGTCCAAGAAGCCGCTGACTGGGTGGAATACACGCAGGCTCAAGGTGGTTTGCAGTATCTCAGACCGAGAGGACTGGACCTACCGTTCTACCAGCTCCATCTGTTGGATATCCTCTTACTCAAATTTACAGTTGTGGTGTCTGCTTTTGTCATCGTAAGGTTTCTTTTTAGATTCGTTAAGAGCGAAAACAAAGTGGTGAAAACAAAGGAAAAGGCGACATAAAGTCAAAAAGGTGTCCAAAGGTGTGATTGTCGCCTTTAGCGAATAGGGACCAGTTTTACTGTGAAGAAGCTGACCCCGTTCACTGCGTTTTGCCCGCATAACAGAATAATTTGCAAAAGCTTGTACGTTAACGAACGTTAACTAATAACTCGAGCCCCGCTAACTCCAACTGGTTTTCGTTTCCCTTCACAGTTCGCGTCAGCGAAGGTCCACTGTAATTGAATTATTATTGTATTGAAAAACATTTTTGGATTGCAAGGCAAGCGCGGTCCAGCGACTTGCTATAAGATTGATAAATATAGTATTTTCTCAGTCTTTCAAACCACGATAAAACCGCACTGCTGAGAGTTTAAAAAAAAACTTAGAATAGACCATTTTACAGTTGCGGGCATAGCACCTTAGCTTTCGATGCAATTAACTGATTTTGCTGGATGGTACTTACATAAGAATTCTTCCGACGACCAGACTGGTCTGGTCTGGCCAGTCGGTTTGGACAAATAGTAAACGCCCTCCAGAAGTCGATTGTCTCTTGAAGTGCTCTCTTGCGGTTTAAACAGACGATGTGGGGAAAATTTGGACGAGAGGGAGTGAGATGGAAATGGACATTATCGGTTACTTGAGTTTGTGACAGAGACTGGATCGGTGTTGTTTTGAATTGCACTATGGACATGGTTTGGGTATGTTATCGCTTGTTCTTTTAGCCCTTTCGATCTAGGTTGTGTTGGAAACTGGATCGAATGTTATTGAACACATTTAGGAGTTTAAGGGTTAATTTCGCAACATGTAACATCTAACAATGTTGCGTCCGTTTGCACGTAGCTTAAAACAACTGTTAATTCCTTCTCAATATAATGCTACAAGGAATCTACATTTCTGAATAAAGATGAGTCAAACCTTGAATTATGCCTGATATTTATTTATTCAGTTTACCCAAATACCACCTACACTCCGTTAAAAGAACTTCGATTTCTTTAAAATATTAAAGAAGTTTTTTGTCCATAAAATAACACGAGAAGTATTCACCTCACAAACTTCACACATTGAATAGAGTCATGTTTTGAGCAAAATTTATTCACTTGCTTTATCCAACGCCTTCCTCAAACGGCTGTGTTCCCGTAACCTAGGATATAAAGGTTCACATTTTCAGTTAGAGGCCTAAAGGTACAAGGGGCAGTGTAATGGGGATTCTTTCGTTTTCTCTCTTTCAAAATGTGCTTAAATTAGATTTCAATTTTAACGAGGCACAAAACGACGCTTTTGATGTTACAGTCTCACGAAGTGAAGCGTTACGTGCCGTCACAAACAACGGCTGCATATAGAAGCTCACGCACCTTAACGACACAGGGTAAAGTTCAGGAGTTTTGAGTACATTAATTGAGCGCCCTGTGGCAATCGTGAGTTTGATTGTCATTTTGGGAAAGTATAGCCAAAAAAAAATTGAAATCAAGCTGTCGCAAGAAAACATGTTAGTTACCTCAGAGAACTGATTTTTATGAAGCCAGCTGCATCTTGAGGGTTGTAGCCAACAAGGGTATCCATGCTGTTTGAAAATAAATTAAGACAAGTGAAACTAAAGGGAAATTTTGTGTTACTGCTTCATTTAGTGTTGAGGTTTTATCGTTTTGGTTGCTCTAGGCCACATAATTCCCCGCGGTCTATGCGTTTCGGGTCACGTGGTCAGGCCGTTCGTCTCGGATGCATCACCGAAATGCATTGACCGAGAAGGCGCCGTACAGGGACTTAGGCAACCGTTTCGGTATGTTCTACAATGATATAGGAAACTACAAGAAGAGGCTGTAAGAATACCTCACTAATTCCTCATTGTAAAGAGAGGCCTTCGACTCACGGCTTTTTATGTAAACCTGCAAAGGAAAGACAAATGATCACAGCACGACCTCGATGTTTTGCATGACTATTATTACAACCAGTATGAGAGAGCGAGAACGCAGGGGTAGGGTGTGGTGAAGCAATTGGGAGAAAGAATGACGTTTACTGCAAACAACACAGTAAAACGGTAGACTGGATAGCCACCTGTCACGTGTTTCCCGCCATTTAATTACACTGGCCTTTTTTAAGAGGAGAGTTTTAACGTTCATGATAAACGTGAGAAAACTGTCCTTATAACCTCATGGTAAGTAAGCAATCGCACAGTCGTTTTAACAGTGACGATTTGAAATGTTATGGCTGAAAATGGGGAGCGAGAGATTGCT